TTCCAAGTCTCAAGTGCAAAAGTCATTTTCATGAATTAGCTCTATATCGAGGGTCCCATAGCCCCTTTGTCCCTCTTCCCTTTCCCTCTTGGTGCCCAGTTCCTCTCGCCCTTATCTCGCTCAAGGCATTTCTAGCCATTACTCACCTGCACAATCCCACACAAGCAAGAAGATCCATACAATATCCCCCATTGGGGATCAACACATAGCCCTTCCCACATGTCTATTCTTTCCATGCTTTTTGGTCGTGCTTTGTTCCCTCTTTGTTGTTCAATCAGCCCATCCTCTTCTCATAGTCATGCAATCGGAGAAATGGTTGAGTCAAACTGACCTCACTTTCAACTTGTGTTCCCTTCTGGATTCCGCCTTTTTACCACTCTTTCAAACGTCCTTTCTCTTTTGCCTCCTTGGTGGCACAAGGGACAGACTATCCTCCCCTTGCCCTCTTTCTCCACCAAGTGAAGTCTGATTTCTTTTACCGTCCGTACCCTCGCAATGTTTTCGAAGTGAGGGGAAAAGAGTTAGTCATATGCCAAGTGAGGGAACGGGGGAGAGGGAGAGGGAAGGCAAGATAGCAAAAGGGGGCGAAAGAGGGTCTAGAGAAGGGAGGAGGGAAAAGGAGGGAGAGAGAATGGGGGGAGAGAGAGAGAGAGAGAAAAAAAAAAGAAAAAAAGAGAGAGAGAGAGAGAGAGAGAGAGAGAAAGAGAGAGAGAGAGAAAGAGAGAGACAGAGAGAGACAGAGAAAGAAAGTGAGAGACAACAAAGAAGAACTCCTATTCAAAACAGCTCCCCATACCAATAACCAAAGGTCGATCACCCGTCCTATAGTGAGAGTTTGAATAAATATTTCATGGAATAACATGGCAATGATGTGCTTAGACCAATAAAAAACACATACTCATAGGGAAAGAGATCAACTTAGCAACGAACTTGATGATGCACAAAGAGAAGAGATAAACTAAGCCACGAACTTGACAATGCGCAAAGAGAAGAGAGCAACTAAGCAATGATCCGGAATATGAACTTGACAATGCACAAAGAGAAAGGGTCAACTAAGCAAAGATCCGGAACATGAACTTGACAATGCACAAGGAGAAGAGATCAACTAAGCAATGAACTTTATAATGCACAAAAAGAAGAGAGCGACTAAGCAATGAACTTGACAATCCAGAAGGAGGAGAGAACAACTAAGCAATGGACTTAACAATGCACAAAGAGAAGACAGCAACTAAGCAATGAACTTGACAATGCACAAAGAGAAGAGAG